CCTCTGTGTGTTCCCCAGTCGGTTCTGCTCCGTGAAGCCCCCCTCCCCCTCCTATCCGCCCCCGCACGGCGCAGCAGCCCACAACTTCATTCACTTTACCTACTTGCCCCCCCCCCTCCCGTGCGCGAATGTGAATGGGTCCAGACGCCGCGTGGGGCCTTGGCTCCTTGGACTGGCAGCTCCTGGGGCTGGCGGGGCCCCCCAACCACCGTGGAGTGGCATCCAGCCCACGGCCCCACGCACGCACGAGGAGACGCTCCGGTAATGGGACAGACTGCAGCCCCCGCTACTGGCAAACTTCCTTCTCCTTCCTCACTGTTAAAATATTTTTTGTTGTGTTTTTTTTCAGCGGCAGGGCGCGACTCTTTCTGTTGGTTAAATACATAAGCATTGCTCTAGATGGTCGTTTCTTCGCTGCGTTATTTATTTGTTAACGGACATTGTGGACGTAAGCAGCGCAAGGACAAATAAAGCAAAGGATACAGAGAGCGGGCTCGACTCTGGCTGTGCGCGGGGCCCGACCGTGGGGAGCCCAAGAGGAAGGGCGGAAGCAATACCATCCCCCTTTCTCCAGCCTGCAGCCCCTCCGGCCGCCACGCCGCGCCACGCCCGGGGGCGTACGCGTGCGTGCTGGGGCGGGGTGTTCCGCGCCGGGTGCTCCGTCACGAACGCCCCGCCGCCGACGGCCACGGCCAAGGCCGACGGATTAAATTCGCGCAGCAGACGCGCGGCGGGAAAGAACGACGGCCCGCGAAAATCGCGCACGGATGTCTATATTTCATTTCCATTTCCGCGTTTTATTTCCCCCGCGTCTCTCTTAGGCCGGAGTGGTCTGGACCACACTCCTCCAGGACCCGCACGCGACTTCCTGCCGCCTGCTGTATATTTCCAGTCGGAGGGGGCGTCTCTCGTCTCGTTCGGGGGAATTCCCAATGAAATTCCGATGCCAGGTCGCCGGCATGCGGACGGGGCCGGGGGGGGGGGGTCTGATTCGGATCGGGATTCAGTCGGGCGCATAGCTTTCCGTGGGAGGGACGTAGAGGCATAGAGAGAGCCTGACGAACAGTCCACGCAAACTGCGTAGTGCGAGTAGTGTGGGCTGTAGAGAGAGTGCATTTACAAAATTTTTGTTCAGTTTAAGAAAGCATAATTTAAAAAATACATATTTTTGTCATCATGCGAACGAAAATTTTGACTTTGGATTCTTGCAAGAAACGTCCATGTACGAAATTTTCGTTATAGAAATACAATTACTTTTTCCCACAGAAACGTTTTTTTCTGGGTTAGCCATGCGGGACGTGGTCCAAGCACACAACACTTTTTGTGAGCAGCCTGCTGCCCGGCACCGGCGGCCTGCCGCAGCTCTACCTCACGACCATATGATGACGATATGGTGACCCGGGGCCGCGCGCCGACGCCGTCCCGTCAAGGCTCATAGGAGGCGTCCTGACAAATATACGACCTCGTAAAGGGACACACACACACCCTAAGGCGTGGGCTATGGGGCTTGGTGGCGGCGCGGCGAGCGCGAGGGTGTACGCCGGGGCGGCGTGCACCCAGAAAATGGTATCCTTGTCACAAGGCCAAATGCCAAATGCGTTGCTTCAACGCTATTTTCACATAAAAAAAAAACGAGGAAAATTGTCTTGAACTACTATCCAAAAATCAACTTAATTTTCTTGAAATTATTGGAAAAACCTTCAACCAAGGTCGAAAATTACCTTATGTATTTTTTCTAGAGAAAATTCCTTGGTTTAAGGATACCATTTTCTTGGCGTGGCCAGGGGCGGCAGGACACGCAGATGCAGCCGTGAGCACGCGTGAGCTCAGGTCGACCCACCCCGAGCAGAGCAGACCGGCGGGCGCATGGTAACTGATGGCCGCTCGGCAGCATCGTTATCCTAGTCTGCCGAATCGATTCCCCATTATTACGACCGGCGAAAAAGGTGAAGCAGCAAAGACGAACGTGGCCGACGACGACGCGCGCAAGGGCGGGGAAAATTATTCCAGAAAGTTTTTGCCGCCGCTGCTGCTGCTCTTGGAGCACAACGACGGCACCGGCGCGGAGCTGAGGGCCGCCAGGAGGGGCGGCGCGCCACGCCGCGGGGGCGCGAGGGCGAGCGGGCATGTTGTAGTGCGCTCGAGGCGCCGAAGCACTTCTGCTCCATCGTATTTTCCAAACGAGGTCTCTAGTGGGGTCGCCCCGGCGCGCCCTGCCCCTGCAAACAGCGGCGGTGCTGGGAGGGGGGGGGGCACAGCGCCGCGCTGTCCACGGGGAAAAAGCGGCACGGCACGGCACGGCAGCGAACGGAACCGAAGGTAGACGAAGCAGGGTGGTGGAGGATGGAAGGTAAAAGAGGCGGATAGAGAGAGAGAGGTAGAAAGTGGGGCGCAGGGAGGGAGAGGGGCGACAGGCAGCTGCATATTCACATTCGCATTTATATTCGAGAGCAAGGCCGCCTGTAATCGAGCTATGGGTCTTCAGTTTCAGTTGTAGTACACTCGGCCGACAAAGGAGCCGCTGCGTCCGGAGGGAAAGCAGACAAGGGTGGGCGGAAGCTGCAGCAGAGCAGAATGCAGAGGCCATGCCAGGGGGAGGGGCGGGGAAGAATGTCAAGGCTTTTCAATGTAAATGCCCCTCTACTTAGAAAGGTCGTCACTGATGACGGGTTCAACTAACAGTGCACATATTTCCAATAATTTGTTGGTCTGCAAAGCCAATAGGGTGTTTCGAATCGAAAATGTTGGTCTGCAAAGCCAATAGGGTGTTTCGCTGAATCGAAAATGGACAGGGAGAAGATGCAAAGAAGTGACAAAACGGAGCCGGAAAAAGCAACCAGCAGACATAACCTAAAATGCTGTTTGGAATTACCATTCTCGTTATGAATTTTAGGGCCAGAATGCGAATAATAACCACAGCACAATGTTTTTTAACGAGCTACACCTGAACACAGTGCACAACACCACACTAACACAAAGATGTGCAAAAGTCCCTTCGCAGGTGAGAAGAGGGTATGACGGGGTAGGGTGGCGACGCCCAAGGTTAATAGGGTCGAAATCAACTTATACAATGCGACATACCTGCATGACAACAGAGCTTTCGAATGGTGCGACGGTCCCCATGCACATACAGCAAACACTTCAATAAACCGCTTCAAACTATATGGTAACTAAAACTAACGAGCTCACGACCGACATGAGGTGACGGCTTGTATGCGCGACTAACCTCAACGATCGCGCAACTTGCCTGCCTGGCCTTATGGCCATATTCTGCTCTCCTCCACCGGGTCGCCCGGCTTTCGAGTCCAGGGTTCAGATGTGGCACGTCGTTTAAAGCCAAACCGAGTGTGTGTCCGTCGAGCTCGGAGTGAAGCGTCCGGCTGGCGAGGATCACGCGCCAGCTGCCCTGTCTCTGAGGCTGACCGGCCGAGTGCGGTGGTGCACATCAAAAAGCACACAAAAGGTCCCACATTTTTGCCGTGTTTAATGCGCATTTGGGCGTAAAATACGAATTTCATGCGCATAATGCGTATCAAACGTGCTATATATGTGGGATCTTTTCAGCGCCATTTGATGCTGTGATGTTTTTCTCATGCCTATGGTCTGCGAAACGGCACAGCGCATAGCGGCTACGGTAGTAAAAGTAATAATATTAATGCCAGTTTTAGTACCGCTGTGCTGCTACATCTCGTCTCGATGTGACGTATGCGCGCGGCCACGGCCATGGGTCGGATGGCGCCGCGGGGCACTGTGCTAACAAGACTCCGCCGCGCAGAGCCGCCCCCGGGCCACCGAGCCTCTCTGCTTTCATTTCAAGAAATTTCTCCATTCTCCTCCCCCCCTCTCCCCCTCTCCTCCCTTCTGCTTCCACACTGGCGATCGAATATGAAATCGCCCTGCCGCCGGCCAGGCCCCTCGAAAACATCAGACAGACGGCGAAAAAATGGAAGTTTTTGATTGGTCCATTCAATAAATTACTGTACTTGTGTTTTCATTTCATCTCGCAGATTCACGTAACGGGAACCAATAGGTTTTAATTACGTTCCCGAGCAATATGAAACCGCTGCCACTGCTCCGCCAGCTCGGGAGATCCCCCCCTCCCTCCTATTTTTCTTCCCTATCCCCATCTCCCTTTGTGTCGCTCTTGCAGCAGTCGACTGAATATGTTTGATTCAAAAGCGCCCGCACCGACGCCCTGCCGTCGCCATTTCCATAAACCGTGTTGATTTAAAAAGCGAGAATGCAAGGGAAAAGATCGTGGAAGAGCAGGGGGAAAAAAAGAGACAACTCCCACGGCCCCCCGCTCCCATCAACTTCCGTCAGCAGCTGGCGGCCAGGTGTGTCCCAGAGGGACGAGCAGGAGCTGCATAAGAGGAGACTACTTCCTGCTCCCTTCAACTGCCAGCAGCAGCTGGTGCAGGTGTGTCCCAGAGGGACGAGCGCGAGCTGCATAAGAGGAGACAACTCCCTGCTCCCCTCAACTGCCAGGAGCAGCTGGTAGCAGGTGTGGTGTCTCATGGGAAGGTGCAGAAGTAGATGAGACTACTCCGAGGGGTCGTCAACTCCCTTCGGCCGTGTACGGAGGAATATATATTACAAGTAATATGTGTAATATCGGTAATATTGGTGTAATATTGTGTAATGTCAGTATTATCAAGTAATATCAAGTAATATTATGTAATAGCATGTACTATCAAGTAATATTACGTAATATCAAGTAATATTACGTAATATATCAAGTAATATTACGTAATATATCAAGTAATACACTGCCGCTCGAAATTAGCGGCGCACTTTTTTGAGCCGGCGTATTTTCTAAGTGTTCTGAGCTAGAATGTCGAGATTTGGCCTGTAGACGTCTCATTGGTTCGTCCTTGGATCCCACGAAGTGCACATCCCTTGCGCCACCCCATACGGCCTGTGCAGCCCCTGGAGTAAAGAGGGGTAGAAAATTGACCTATAAGGTTCCGAATTTGTCACTTAAAATGATCGGAAAGTCGAAATTTTTGGTGTACCGACTCAAATTTGTGTCCTCTTTCGAAAGGCGCTAGCGAAATCGCGGTCGTTCAAACCACCCCCTGCCCTGTTCACCCCCACCCCCATGAAGGGGTGAGTTTTGAGGATGGTCAAAACTCCCGTGACATCCTCCGGGGACACCCCCTGTACACGGGCCATGTGTTTTTTTTCGAATTGGACAAACCCCGACCAAACAACCCCCATGAACGTGCAACCCCTTTTCGAATATCGGCCATTTTGGAACCTTAGGGTTGAAGTTTTAGCATGAAACTTTTAGGAATGATTCCTTTTGCCATTTGGAACACAACCATGCCGAGAAACCCGGTGTCAACATCTTCAACCCCTGCCCAGGGGGTAGCTACCCCCGAGTGACTGTGCACCCCTTTGGGAGGGGATGGAGAGCTGGGTCTATGCGAATCTATTCAAGAACATCTCAAGGAAGCTCCCCTCAAATTTTCATGTCGATCGGACCAACCATTTTGCGTACAAACTCGATAAAGTGGAATATCGTTCAAAAACTACCCCCAAGTTCAACTTGCCCTGTCGCCAAACTGAGAAGGGGTAGCGACCCCACCCAAAGCGTCCCTCCTCGGCCCAATCTTCACCTCGAAGGCCGCAGAGTCTTGGGTCCCTGCGGTGACGTTCGCGGCCGTGAGACCGATGTAGATATGTAGTTCCTGTTTAAGTCCACTCCCCATTTAATAGAAATACCGGTAACACGTTTCGTAGATGCATAGACGTACACGACAACAAGTACAACAGAGGCCGCGAGCAATGCGTAGCGCTGTTGCCATCTAGTCGTCATGGCTGACTAGTGCAGTATTGCAGGTGGTTCCGGCAACTGGCGTGGCTGGCGGTCTTTTTAAAAAGCCATTATGACTGTAGTAGGCCTACGATTCACCACGCACAGTTTCTCAATATTAACAGAAATGTTTGACCCTTCCGCGGTACCACCAGAAACAATTCTGAAGTGTGCTAAGTTGCTTGACATGTACAATTGATGTGAAGTAATATCGAGTAATATCAAGTAATATTGAGTAATATCAAGTAATATCTGGTAATATTGTGTAATATCGGGTAATATTGTGGAATATCGGGTAATATTGTGGAATATCAAGTAATATGTGTAATATTAGAGTAATATTAGAGTAATATCAGTCCGTGTACGAAGGAATATCGGAGTTGACGACCCCTCGGACTACTCTCCAATCCCTCCTCCAACTGCCAGCTGCAGCTGGCAGCAGGTGTGTGGGGGTTGAGCGAGGTTTGGTGGCCTCGAGAACGTAAAGGCCGCGCTGAGGTCAAATCCGCAATCAAGCCCCAGAATTGTTCTGTCACGGGTGATCTATGTGAGTCCGCTGAAGAGAATTAAACAGGGGTCACACAGAGAGGAAAAGAGGCAGAACCGGCGACGCTTCAAAGTCATGAAAATGTAAGTTTCTGTCCGTCGTAGCGGCCCTGGCCAAGGAGGAGGGAGTGGGGTGGGGGGTAAGTCGCCCTTCGACCCGTCACATTCCAGCAACCGGACATAAGTGGACTTGGGATGAGTTGCCTTGAGGAGACAGCACCAGAGCGCCAACATTTCCGTCTTCATCTTCTTCCACGCGACGACCACCAAAGCGACGTTGCCTCCGCGACGGGGGGAGCGGGACGGGCGATTTCTAACAATTACCGCCCGGTCACTCTCGCCCGTCAGCCCCCGAGCCCCGGACGGAGCGCGCCCTTCAGGTCGAGCGGCGCCGTGACTCCGAGCCTCGGGGGCAGGCCTCGGAGGGTGCGGGCGATGCGTGGGTGCGACCCCTGCGCGCCGGGGATGGGGGGGGCTCTCTGTCTCGTTTGGGGCTTACCGCGCGACCGGGAGGGGGTGAGGGAGGGGTGAGTAAGCAGGTTAATGTTCGTGCCCTACTGACTACGGCAGCACCCACGCACGCCAGGCGCCCCGCCCCGCAGCGCGCAGCGCCACACCCCACCACGCCCCGCCACGCCTCTTTAAAACTCCCGCCGCATCAACGTTGGCCCTGGCGAGGTGCGGCGTCGCGAGGGCAGATAGCGGGCAGGAGGGGCTTTTGCAGCGTGGCGGCGTGCTTTGGGCGGCGGCGTCGTGGTCGTGGTCGCCTGGCTGCGCCGTGGTACTATCGTTTGCATGGTGCGGGGCGCGGGCGCGGGGCGTGGGGCGTTTCCTTCCTCCCGCGCGGTCCGCGCACCACTGGGGGAGCTAGAAGCGCGCCGCCGGCGCCCTCGGCCATCGGCGGCACCCTATGCACAGGGTACAGAGGCCCGAGGGGTGAACAACTGGTGTATTCCTCTGTCCCCGAGGCTTGTATTACCTAATATTACCGTATATTACCATGTATTCCATGGATTACTTTGTATTACCATGTAGTACCTTGTATTACCTTGTATTACATTGTATTACAAGATTTTTTTCTCTGTAATACCTTATATTACTCTGTAGTACCA